CCATAATCTAACCTGGGGATGGTGAGGGTGAGGTAGAGTGCCTAGATGCTCAGCAGAGAAAGGCAGGCACAGTCTCCCAGCCAGCAGAGGAAGTCCTCACCACTGAGGCAATAGATGGGTCAGATCCTCTTCTGGTGCAAACTGGCATAGCTCCACTGACTTCAAGCTAGCCGCAGTCTCTCTGTACCTGAGATCCTCATCCGCAGAATGGGGATAAATATACTTCCCTATCTCACCAAGTGTGGTGAGGAGAAATTCATTACAGCATTGAAAAGCCTGTGAACAAGACCGTGTATAAACTCGTAAGGGGTTCCCAAATAGGGATACAATCTAAATGTCTGGAAACTGGGAGTAAATAGAGAACCTAGGCAAATACTCACTTCTGAGCCACTGGTTATTCTGAAATGGACACAATTTGTAGGCCTCTTGTTTATCTTTATGGTGTTTATGCAGTGATGTCAATGTTACTAGGGCTTGGTCTACACTAATCCCCCAAATCGAACTAAGGTACGCAACTTCAGCTATGTGAATAACGTAGCTGAAGTTCGAAGTACCTTAGTTCGATCTTACCTCGGTCCACACGCGGCAGGCAGGCTCCCCCGTCAACTCCGCGGTACTCCTCTCGCCAAGCTGGAGTACCGCAGTCGACGGCGAGCACTTCCGGGTTCGACTTATCGCGTCCAGACAAGACACGATAAGTCGAACCCAGAAGTTCGATTGCCAGCCGCTGAACTAGCGGCTGGGTATAGACGTACCCTAGAGCTCCAGCAATCACTCCGCATTTGCTATAATGTAAATCATTGTGAAGGCTTTGGACATACACTCGTTTCCTTAGACGGAAAGTACACTAGACATCCTTAAGCTGGCTAGTTCATTAGCAAAAGACCAGATCCCAGGTCACCACCACTTGAACACTTTGTCTTCAGAGTTTTGAAGGGAAGGGTAGGAAATCTGGTTCAGGATGTCAGGAGCAGACTGGAGGCAGGGCGAGTCCAGAATCTCGAAAGGAGCAAGTTCTGGCTCAACTCCTTTCCCTGCACTTCTGCATGCATTCTTTCATGTTCTTCCGACACTCCCCACCATCCTGCTACAGATTCTCAACTTGACCAGAGAAGTATAAAGAAGTGGATTTTACTTGTTCATGCCTTTAAATTGTAAGCTGTTTTGAGTCTGTTATTTATTTGTGACCCATTCCTTTCATACAGTACTATCCATATGTATGGCATTATATAAAGTACAGTTCATTGAGAAGAATATTTATCCTCGGTATTTTAGGGTCAAAAAGATAGATGCACAAAGAGTTTAAACTATATATTATGTCTTGGATCCGAAACCCATTGATGTCAATAGTAAAACTCCCTTTGATTTCAATGGGCTTGGATCAGGCCTTATATAATTGTTGAGGTTAAATGTATCATCTACTGTGAATAGAACAAGCTGTTTAAGCTGCTATTTGCTTCCTAGGGAAACCCCTAAAAAGCGTCTCTCCATCTAGCTGCCTCATTATTGCTATTTCTCATCCAAAACTGGCAAGGGACAAATGAAGCCCATGTTTCCTAGACTTTTTCAAGTACTGAACTGCACAAAACACTGCCAGTGCTAAGCACAAATGTTAGCAAAAGCAAAATACTTCTTCAGAGCCTAACAATAAAAGTGTTTTGAAACCTTGCCAAAAATGCTGCTAAATACAAATGGTTTTATGATAGTTTAACACTTCGCTTTCCTATTTTTTCTTAGAATTCAACCCTTGGTAAGAACAGAATTTGTTATTTCTCTATATACCAAAGGAATATCCTGTGTAATTTACATAGTCATTCTTAATTATTATTCATTAATATTTAAGTTGCAGCAACACCTAAAGACCAACAAGATCAGAGCCCCATTGTGCCAGGCACTGTACAAACATTCAGCAAATGACAGTTTTTAAGATACTGATTTATCCAGCAGTGGATAGGGATGAATCACAACAAACTGTAATACTAGGATGATCCAAATGTGCAACCCTAGAAATCTGACGATTTCTTTTTAATGAATGTAGGGTGATCCCACATATTTGATATAGCTTCCATAATTTCAACTTCAAGCGATGGAATATGGTCAAGTAGTTAGGCGCATGAGACTATGAGTCATGGACTTCGGGGTTCTATTCCTAAATCTGCCAATGATTCATTGAATCTGACTCTACTCCCCACTGAAATCAATGGCAAAGCTCCCATTATTTCCATCTTCAGTGGAAGTGTGATCAAAAGCTCTGCATCACCTTGACTATGTCACTCTGCTTCTCTGTGGCTCAGTTTACTTATTTGTAAAAAAGGGTATAAAATATCTACCTTGTTCACCGATTGTGTTACGCTTAATTACAGTTTGTAAAACACTTTTAAGATCCTTAGAATAAAGCTCAGTACATGAGCGAAATACAATAGTAACGTTTTTAAAAGGAAGACAGTGTATTGTTGATTCATAAGCCAGACCTACTCGGACAATAGCACTAGGAAAGATGGGACCTTCCCCTATTCAGGACAATGAGAGGCTAACTTCAAAGTCAACCTGTGTCAAAATTTACTTCCAGCAAATGGACTGGATGTGTCTGACAGAACATCAAGACTTCTTTATTTGAATTAATGATCTGTTGGAAACTGACATTTTTAAGTCTAGAAAAGCTATTTTAGGTGATTTAAACATTTATTAGCTCTATTATTTCTGTGAGCTCTGCACAATTGGACTCAAAGACTTTTTAGCAAAGAGGGAGTCTTTCCAATGAGTCCAGTGGGAGCCAGATCAGGCTCATGCAAGAGATAGGGTGGTGTGGTATAAAGGTTTTATTGGCAGTTGTTTATATGTGATATGTGCATAACTTACACATTGGCTGTGCCACTCATAAGTAGTATGATCATCCCAAATTCACGCTAATTAACCTTTATAATCACACTACACCCTGCAGAATTCCTGATTGACAGATACCTATATGGCATTATTTTTAAAGCTTGTTTTGTCTAATGTTACGTTTCATGAAGCAAATTAAAAAATAGTGCTCACTGGAGTTCTTAGGACCCTACTGGCTCTGAAGTCCTAAGTATGTTAGTTGAGTCTTTCCACTGAATTATGCTGAGAATAGTTTTATAAAATGCCTGTTGTTTTTTAAATGCTCAGTTAAACGTACTCTTAGCTCAGGATTTACCAGATGTTTTTGTTAACATTATAGACTAATCCTTTTCCTGCAGGCTGTTGTAATAACTTTGCCACTAGAAGATAATAAAGAGCCTTTTTCTCCCCTACAGAGTTTACCTTTGGCTGACTCAGCCTGAACAGCTGCAATTTCCTTTATTTGCTTTGAAATTTATTTCAAACTTGGGCTGAAGATATTTCTGCTCTTGAGAAACCAGTGTTGTTGGAGAAAAAATGCGATGGGCAGTAGATTAGATAGCTACAACTACAAACAGGTAAATGGACTTTAAAAGCTAGTACTTCAAGCTGTAGCTTTTCTGACTGGTCTCACAAGTGCTTAATTTTTAGGACTTTGTCAAACTGTGGGTTTATTTTTCCACTTGAGGCACTTGGGCCAAGTTGAACTAAGGAACGGAAGCCAATTTTAAAGTGTGACTGGCTAACAGACCAGGACTGATACATACCAGGGGTAGGCAACCTATGGCACGGGTGCCAAAGGCGGCACGCGAACTGATTTTCAGTGGCACTCACACTGCCTGGGTCCTGGCCACCGGTCTGGGGGGCTCTGCATTTTAATTTCATTTTAAATGAAGCTTCTTAAACATTTTAAATCCCTTATTTACTTTACATACAACAATAGTTGAGTTATATATTATAGACTAATAGAAAGAGACCTTCTAAAAACGTTAAAATGTATTACTGGAACTCGCAACCTTAAATTAGAGTGAATAAATGAAGACTCGGCACAGCACTTCTGAAACGTTGCCGACCCTTGATATATACTTTCAGAGACAGCAGCCTCCATAACATTGTACAGCAGTTGGTTGAACTGTTCCACTTTTGACTGAGGATGGAGAAAATAAAGATAATCATAAGTCACAGAATGTTCAGCCAAGCCAGGTGCTAGATCTGCTCAACAGTCCAGTGTTTAAAAATATTAACGAAACAAAAATGATTAGGGGGATGGAACAGCTTCTGTATGAGAAGAGATTAATAAAACTGAGACTTTTCAGCTTGGAAAAGAGACGACTAAGGGGGGGATACGATCGATAGAGGTCTATAAAATTATGACTAGTGTGGCGAAAGTAAATAAAGAAGTATAATTTACTCCTTCCCATAATACAAGAACTAGGGGTCACCAAATGAAATTAATAGGCAGCAGGTTTAAAACAAAAGAAAGTATTTCTTCACACAACACACAGTCAGCTTGTGGAACTCTTTGCCAGAGGGTGTTGTGAAGGCCAAGACTATAACAGCGTTCAAAAAGAACTAGATAAATTTATGGAGGATGGATCCATCAATGGCTATTAGCCAGGATGGGCAGGGATGGTGTCCCTAGTCTCGGCATTCCAGAAGCTGGGAATGGGCGACAGGGAATGTTCTGTTCATTCCCTCTGGGGCACCTGGCATTGGCCACTGTTGGAAGACAGGATACTGGGCTAGATGGGCCTTTGGTCTAACCCAACTGGCCATTCTTAATCACACTTCAGAAAAATCAAAAGGGTTGAACATATTACAATTAATATGAGAAATCCCAGAGAAAAGTCATTCAAAACATTGAGTCACTGGGATAAAGGATATGAATAGGAGAAGTTAACAATGGATTGAAAGTGAGCTTAACACCTGGAAAAAGAAAGGCTTAAGCATTATAAACTATTACTGGCTAGACCTGAATTACACAGAGTCCTAGGACTGCTTTTGATATATTAGTCAGTGCACCGATTTCTGCCTGCTGCAATCTTTGCATATCTGACTGCAAGTATTATGCAAACAGCACTGAGCTAAGTATTAAATTGTAAGATCTTTCCGATTCTGTGGTATCATTCTGAAGGCAGTTAAACTCTAAGATAATTTTTATTGGGGTTTAACATCAAACAATTCTCAATAATTTACACCCATTTCCAGTCAAAAGGCTGGCGAGGGAGGTATACATCCGTTTCCCACAAACTGTGGTTTAGAGAAGTCTGCCTTTTCGGTGCTTCTCTTTCTCTGGTGTATTTGGACAGCACCCTAATATCCTTCACCAGCTGCAAAGAAAAACGAATCTCAGAATAAAACTCTAAGAGTGAAAAACTGAGCTCAACATTGATGCCTACTCTGTGCTGCTGTAAACTGAGCCCGCTTCCCTCTCCCAATTTTTAAAAAATACATTGCCCTTCAAAGGTCCATTCCAGCAACGCTTACTCACAAAACTTCAGTGGGGCTATGTGCATGAGTAAAGATGTCAGGAACGGCGTACCATTTGTACCCACAATTAGTCAGTCCACTTTCAGCAGTCAGAAACGCCTATGAAGTATGAAGAACAGTATCAAGATGTAAGGGCTGACAGACAAAAATTGACCTTGTAAGTTCCCATGATTACACAGATGTTTTAGCTTTAAAATATATAGAGCTATTTCCATATTTTTCTTACCAAAGACAACTAAAACTTGTACAAGAAACATTTAATATCTTGAGAGATCCATCAGTTCTCATTATAAATTGGGAAAGCAAGCAAGTCTCTAAATTATAGAACAGTGCAGGCTCATATAACTCTAATGGAGGTTATGCAGCGTTACCACAGTAAATCTAAATTTTCAGATGCTTTCATTAAATTTGGATTCCTCCATTTTTGAGTGCCCAACTGAGACACCGTAAAGGGGGATGATTTTCAGAGGTGCTGAACATGTAGAGTTCTGTATTAGATCATTGTCAGTATGGGAGAACTTCTAGGGTGACCAGATAGCAAGTGTGAAAAATCGGGGCAGGAGGTGGTGGGTAATAGGAGCCTATATAAGAAAAAGCCCCAAATATTGGGACTGTCCCAATAAAATCAGGACATCTGGTCACCCTAAGAACTTCCTGTACTTAAAACCACAAGCTCCATTCAGAGGAGCATTGCCTGAAAACTTTCTCATGGGGGACACTCAACTCCCATCACTGCCCTGGTGTGCTTCAGGAGTGTAAGCAGGAGCATGAAGTGCACCATCCACAAAAGCACTAACGAGACTGGTGGTGCGCTGGAGAAAGAGATCTGGTCAGACTGTGGTGAGGGGAATCACTGAAACAAGAAGAAACAAAGAGGGTGAGATTCGAGCCCTATGGCAAAATTCCCATTGACTATAATGGGGTCAGGATTTCATCCATGAGCTTGAGAGCAAAACAGAAGAGAGATACAACAAGACATGATTTTCACTGCATCCATACACTAAAATAGCGCCCAGCCCCACAACATGCAAACTTCTCCAAGCCTTTGGAATGTATGTAGTTCCAGATCTTCTACATACGTCAGGCACTGAACCCCTTATCATCCTCTCTGAACCTCAGCAAGGGCAATTCATTTGCCCCATCTCTCACACACCCTGTGTCACGGAGAAAGGCTCCAGCAGGGTCTGCGCCGACACAGAAAACTTCCCCCAAACTGCTTCTCTGCCTAGTCCCTCGGGACAGCTGGTGTCCCAACGTCCCTTCTCTCCGCGGCTAGGTGGCTCCCTTGCTCCCCAGCTGGTACCGTGATGACTCCTCCTGCTCCCCCTTACTCACAGCGGCTGGGTGCCCTGCCCTGCCTCACCGCCAGCAGCCGGATCCTTCCCTCAGGCCCTGCTGGCTCCCGCCAGTCTCGCTCTCCCCCCACCTCCCCCTACTCTACGGGCCCTGGATCCCCGAACTCCCCGGCTGGGGACCCTACAGCCCCTCTGTGCCCCCCCCCCCATTCAGCCCCCTGGCCGGGCTCTCACTCTGGCTTTGCGATTGGTCGATGTCCCCCAGAGGGGCGTGGTCAGAGCGGAATGCTGAGTCGGAGCGTTCCAGAACCGGACGGTCCTGTTCCGGCTTCCGCGCGCTGATTGGCTGAGCGCTTTCCCCTCCTCCGGAGGAGCAGCGAGGAATGCTGCGGTGCGTTCCAGGGCTGGGCGGTGCGGGCCGCGGGCAGCCGGAGCGCAGTAGCCCCGGGAGCGAGCGGGGATCTGCGGTGTCCGCGAAGCCCCTGGCGGCCGCGGGACGGGTCGAGAGGCAGGGGATCCGGCTGGGAAAAGCACAAGGTAAAACTTGCAGGGGCGGGGCGGGTTGCTCCAGCACCGGACCGTGTGAACCGGGAGAGGCGTTCGCTGCCGGCGGCAGGACCCCAGCCCGCCTCAGCTCCCCGTGCCCCCAGCAGCTGCATCTGAGTGACAAACAGCAGGAACTTTATCGCACCCCAGCTGACTTTCACGTGTTCCTGGCAGAGCCACGCCGGGGATCGCGCCTGGCCTGCATTTCACCTGGGAGCGCCCAGTGTTTAGATAGTGGGAAATAGGTAGCAGGGGTTAAGTCCGTGGAGCTGCGTTGTTGACATGGTTGTACCCACTGGCTCCCACTGGGAGTGGGATCGGGTCTATTTATATAGGTACTTCTCTAGTCCCAGTCACTCGAGAATCTGAGCACCTTGTAAACGTTAATACATTTTTTTCTCACAACCTTGTGAGGTAGGTAAGTAGTATTATCGCCAACGTACAGCGCTGGAACTGGCAGGGTCTGGCTCACCCTCTGTGATTCAGTTACACCCTGCACCACAAAAAAGTTCAGTGAAGTCAGTGAGACCGCTTGCATAGTAAGCTACTACTCGCTGTGAGTGAGGGTGCCAGGACTGGGCCCTTAGAGCTTGGTACAAGGCCACGCAAAAATCTTCCCAGTCCAGTGTCACCCTTCCCCTGAGTCAGTTTAGAAATGTTTGGATTGAGCAACATGTTTGGAAATCTGTGCCCTACAAACATGAATGTTTATTACTGAACAGGTTAGTCATAAGATCCAGTAATATGAAGCACAGAGCACATTTTAAACACTGTTTAGCAGAGAAAATTCAGAACAGTAAATGCCCAAGAATCCTTCAGGGTATGATTTAGTCCAGCATTGCTCCTGGGACTTCCTTTGTTTCTTCTCACTATCTTTTAGACTGTAAACTCTTTGTATTTGTGTCTTCTACAACACTGAGCATGTTGTTGGTGCTTTACAAATACTGAATCATAATAACAGTAGTCATAATCCTTCTATAATGCCTCTGTAATGTGATTGCAGTGTTTCTAATCTCTTTTCTTAATGTATATGATTAGCAGTAATGTACTCATCTGTAAAATGGTATAGTAATACTCACCTAATTCACATGTTTGTAAGGCACTCTAAGATCCTGGATTAACAAGAGCTATATATATGCTAAGTATTTACTATCTTTTTTTTTCTTTTGGAAAAATAGGCTTAAAATACATGACCCTCTAAAATACATGACCATGTTTCAATATCAATTGCAAATTTTGTAACTTTTTGCCATTTAAGGAATTATGTATCATGCATTTTATGTGGTATTGTGACCTGCACAGACAGCTTTCAGGTGCCGGGAGAGCAGAGTCTGTGTGGAACTCAGGAAATCAGTATTATAACTGAACCAATATAGTTTGAAATGCTTTGATATGAAATCAGGAAACTGTTTAATTGCAACATCTAGAGTTATATTCTGATTTATTTTATTACTTTTTCACGTGCAGTTATGCCCCTGCATCTCTCTACTCTTGCAGAGTGTGCACCTCTAGCAACTTAAGTGGTTTGTAATACCATCCTGGGGCATTTGTTTAATACCAAGATGAAAGAGAAGAGTGCTAACTACTGATTACTAGCAACACTTCCTGCAGCACTTTGGTGTTACATAGAGAAGATGCCTCAAAGAACTGATTAGATTTTTAAGGCCAGAAGGGACCATTAGATTGTCTAGTCTGATCTCTTGTATACCATAGGCCATAGAACTTTACCCAGTTACTCCTGTATTGAGCCTAATACACTTTAGTCAGACACAAGTTATGTTCTAGAAACGGATCCAGGCTTGATTTGAAGATTTCAAGAAATGGAGAGAGACGCCACCCCTACCCCTTCATACTTTGTTCTAGCGGTTGATCACCTCACTGTTAAAAACATGTGCCTTATTTCTTATTTGAACTTATCTGGCTTTAAGTTCCAGCCATTCATTCTTGATATGCCTTTCTCCACTAAGTTAGAGTCCTTTAGTCCCCAGTATTTTCTCCCCATGAAGGTATTTATACCTTCATCCACTGAAATCATATTAGCTAGTGACAAGATCACAGGCCAAGGTGGCCTGATTCCAGCTGGTACTCTGTTGAAGGGTTCCAGAGGGAGACATGCCCAGATCTCTTTTATTGGAAGGATATCAATTATGACATGGAGGTTTCTGAATGGACAGTGGATGTGTGGTCATTCTCATGGACTCCACCGGGCACTTGGAGTATCCCCTGCCTGCACTCACAGCTGTTACAGCACAGAGGGGGAGGTGCCACTGCTGACGCTTCTACTTCTCCATAGGAAACCCACCAGGCCTCTGTGGTTAACACTTAAAGGTTGCATAAGTCATTTGTGTATATATAGTCTGGTTAAAAATGTTGAGCCCATTTTTCAAGCGTGAAAAATACCTGTGCTGCACTGTTCTGAGGCAGCATTCCCCAAAGCCACGCTCCCTTTCAGTTTAAAGGACTGAAACAGCTGTGCACTGTGTTTAATTGTCATGTTCTTAATGAACTATTTAATTTTTTAAAATATAATTTACTACTCCAAATGATCGAATAGTGGAAACAAAGAGTTCAGTGTATTTTATTAACTAATATATATTAACCATCTATAGAGCAAGTTGAATACCACAAAAAAGGTGTTTGTCAAATGCCAGGGAAACTAGAATAGTATGCAACCATCCCCACTTACTACACCTCTCTTGTTTTGGCTGTACCTTGGTTCCGTTTCTTTCCTTTCCTTCCTCCTACAGATCTGTGTGTACACAATACTTCTCTCACATGGCTATTCCCATCAATTGCAGCAGGCTGAATTGGGCCCTGTTCTGTAATGAGAAAGTTTTTACTATTTGATGGCTGTTTGTAATGAGTTGATGGACTGGTGACCACATTACACAAACCCACCGTCACAACTGGCACCTCTGTGTACATATGTATGTATATGCATGCCCACACTTTACTGTTTATTGGTAAATATACTGTAGTGATTTAACTAGCTCCATAGCATTTATTTTAATAACTAATATTTCTCTGAGCCATTGTAACACACTTTGATACAAGCAGAACAAAAATAACATTTTCCCAAATTAATAGTCTGGATCAGAAATTGCATCCTGAGTTTTTAATTTGCTTGTTACTTTATTATTCCTAAATTATGGTATCTCACTTAATTGGTGGGAGGGAAAAAATACAATATTGCATGTTCCCAGAAGTCTGTTTTATTTACCAGTAAAAAAAGCCCTAAATTCATGCAGTGCCTTCCATTTGTACAGAAAACTAAATAATATTTTAAATTAATCACAATGTTATTAAAGTAAAATTGGTTTTTCAGCCTGATGCATAATCCATAAACCAATGGTAATTTACAGTTTATCTGAGAAGTATACACTCACTTTAATAAGCCGTTTATTCCTTGGGGAATAAGGTGGGAAGTTAACTTCTTTTATCTTTTTGAACTGATTAAATCAGAGCAAATTTTACCATAGAGGCAGAAATCCATGGGCGGGATTATGAGATACCAGGGATGTGTAATAAAACTGTTTGCCCATCTGACCCCATACTGGCAACACACTAACAAGCAGTGGTTTGGAGGATTTTTTTTCTTTCCTTGGGTAATTAATGGTTCTGCTTTCAAAAAGTAACAGGTTAGGGTTCTGGGGTACAAGGATATAATCTCCAGATCCAAGTATGCCACTAGACTGGTATTTCCTTTCGTTTCTCTCTCATTTGGGAGTGGAAAGGGTGTTTACATCCAGGCTGCTTGTCCCATTGTTCTGGTGTAACAAAATTTGCAAGTGTTCTGTGCTGTGTAAGAGCCAAAATAAGCATGATAGTTAAAAAATTTCCTAAATGATTTAGGAGCCTAAGTCCCACTGACTTGGAGTAAGGTGCTTATGAAAATTTTACTCTGTTTCTGGCAGTATATCCTTAATCTGGGGTTACATTGTCAGTTTATTTAGAAGTGTAGGAAGTATATAGAATTCTCCCTCTCTCTTTCCTTACCGTCCATGCATTCCCACTCACTACGAAACTTTACCATTCTTCTAAAATAGAGGATTAACCTAAAAGTCACAGACTAATATGGAAAGTTGAGGTTCCACTGTCCAGGTCCAATGCCTAATGAGAAGCCAACCAACCCCTCAACATCTGGGAAAGAAGGGGGCATGGTGGGATTCTCACCAGGGCATTGTCCTGAACCCTGCTCCACCTTTCGAATTAGCTGCTAAACACACTACGCATACTCAACCCTTCTTAAATACCCTAATAGTCTCACAGAGCCCTTCTGAGAGAGCTAAGGCTTATTTTACCCATTGTACAGATAAGTAACGTGGGAAAGAGAGGAGGCGATCACATGGTGAGTCAGTAGCAGAGCTGGGAATAGAACCCAGGAGTCAAGCTCTTATACTACCATGCAGTGAGATTGCCATAAGCCGGATCAAGAGTCTGTGCAAAAACTATCCAATTCTGCATTGATAATTCCAAAATTATCCGCAGTATTTTCTTATACTCTGAATTCCCCCACACCAGTCTGCCCTTGTTTCAATCTCTCCTCTATTATTTCTATTTCTCTTTTGGCTGTGTATCGTTCTGTCTCTCTTATCTCCTTTGTGCTCAAAGCTCCTCTCCTACGGTTTTGTTTGTACGTGTCCAAAAGTAGGCAAGACTCCAGATCTGGAAAATCAGTGTACATGGCATTTATCCAAGGGCCATGCTGTACCCTCTGTGCACAGTCGTTCTTCTGTTTAAACCTTTCATCCATTTATTGTGCAATGTCTGTGTAGGCAGGAGGGAGAACGATGTTTGCAGGTTGTAGACTCGTTGTAATGGGAAGTGCAGAAGTTAAATCCTGGCTTTGCCATGCCTGCAGGAAAACCGCCTCCGGCTGGAGGAGTCTCATCTGCTCCGACCAGCTAAGCGGTTACACCGAGACTCTCTCTCCACTCTCCCCAACACAAAGGGAAGACAGTTATTCCCATAATGCAACATTCAAAATATTTTTATTTAAAGGGAAAAGTCACTGGAACATTACTTCAGAAAATGTAGATCTCGTTGCTCCCTTGGGCCTTCTGGCATAAGTTGCATGTAAGTCCCATTCTAATATCACTCATGAGCACCACCTTCAAATAACTAGGAAAGGCCGCCTCCAGCAACAATCTTATGTGTGGGAGTGGAGTAGATGGGTACGGAGTTTCAGCTGTGTTCTTAGTGGGATGGGCCTGGGGGCATTTGTATCCCATTAAACATCCCTGACACAATTATTGGTCTTTCTTTTTCCTCCGTTTGTACTTCACAGAGCAGAAGTCATGGTCTGCTAATATTTTATTTTTTCAGAGAAATTTTCCAACGACAGACAAATTTTTCCTGTGTGACCTTTAGAGGAAGAGTGAATAAAATCTCTGCTATTTTTGTGCTACTCTCCCTCACTCATCAGTGTATGGTAGAGGTTGCAATTGGATTTAGACTACACTACACATTGATGAATAGATGTGCGTAATGCAGTGTGAATCCATCAAATCTACTCTGTCTCAAAGCCTTGAAGAAATACTGTATATCCTGATAGAAGTGAGTCAGAGGGTCATTAGAGCCTTCTCCGAATTCAAGGGAGGTCATGGGTTTGTCCTTTTTTGGTTGCTCATAGCTTGCATTCGCCTCATCATGCCTGTGTGGGACATGATCCCAACAACGTGCAAAAGGTAGCTATTGTGGGTTCCATCATTTCTTAGGAAGAAAGATTGCCAAGGAAAACACAGGTGCTCCAGAAGAAATGTTGGCTTTCCCTCTGAATCCATACAGAGCCAATGCCCAGTATGGCATTTGGGGCACCTTGCTGCTGAGGCACTGTATTTACATGTCTGCTAAAGACATGGTCTTGGTCATCTGTGGTCAGCCAGATTCAGCACCCAAGAGTGCCCATTTTACTTCATGATAACTGGTGGGTGCTTGGAAAATATGGCCACTTTATCTAGGTTCCTAAGTGGCAGCTGAGCTGTTTTGAAAACTTGGCCCTAAGCTTCCTGTAAACAATATGGTTATTAATAGCAGTCTCCTGGCCACAATCTAAACTGGAGAACTTAATTCATTGTCTCCAGTAATTTTCACTGGCTGCTGCTGCTTTAGAAACTGCTTAGTGTCACTGTATGATGTTTAATACTACTCTGGAGGTGGTTGTGTTTTCCCTATCCCTACCCTAAAAGGGTGTGTTGAGATGAAAAATGCTCTATGAATGTAAATTGTTTGTCTAGAATTTTCTCCATGTAGTTATCTATCACTGACGCTAAGACGTCTAAGCACCGTGTGGCTTTTAGATCTTCTGAAACCTAAGTTTTTTGAGATAACAAGTAGTTATGTATTAGCTACTATAAGGAACGTTAACAGAAACAAGGACCTGTGCACATCCCCTGTGAACTCCGAGCTACCTCTGTCTAAAAGGAAGTGATTCAGTTTATGAAGTTTCTTGTGGATTATTACACCTAGACACAGAGACTTGGGGCCAATACCAGTAACACAAACAGCATTTTAAATGTGTAAGTGGAGGAAGGTTTTACGTCATGAGCGTGAAAGTATTTAATTGACCCCAAATTAGGGACTTAAAGGAGTTACTTTCACATCACTTAACCCGGTACTTTTAAAATAAAAAATGTTGAACAGGGGAGTAGCGTTGTGGAGGTGAGAGGGAGGAATGAGTATGCTGTGATCTAGTTCCTTTAATACTATTCAGAACGTTTTCAGAATGACGTGTCTTGTAACTGGAAACACAAATAACAAAAGGAACACTTGGTATGATAAATGCAGGGGTTGGGTTGCGTGGGCTGGGTTGTTTGGGGTGGTTTTTTGGTCTTGTCAGTCCAATAAGAGGAGGATCACAGGGGATAGCTCAGAGAATTGATAATAGAGCACGCAGCCTTCCACTTCTGGAATTCTGGTTCGGTTCCAGCCTGGGTTTGCGGTGATCAGAGCTGTTACCATTTGGGTGGTGAGTGGTATCCTTGAATTCAATTAATTATTTCATTCCAATGCCTAGAGCAGAAGGAGCCAGAATTTACCAATGTACATTGCCAAAGAGTCGCAGTAATACGTCAGCAGCCCCCATAAACTCCCCCACCCCCCAGTGCCTCCCGCCCACTGGCAGCCCCGCAGATCAACGCCCTCCCCGCACCTCCCGATCAGCTGTTTTGTGGCGTGTAGGAAGGGAGGGGGGGGGTTGGGGGGGCGAGGGCACTACAGGCTGAGGGGAGGGGGCAGGAAGGGGTGGAGTGAAGGCAGGGCCTGTGGCAGAGCCAGGGGTTGAGCAGTGAGCACCCCCCGGTGCATTGGAAAGTTGGTGCCTGTAGCTCCAGCCACGGAGTCGGTGTCTATACAAGGAGCCGCATATTAACTTCTGAAGAGCTGCATGTGCCTCCGGAGCCACAGGTGCCCCCCCCCCCCCCGGCGTAGAGGAAAGTGTCTGTCTATGCAGCCTTAGTTGGTAGCCTCATCAGCGAGGCCAAGAATTGAGTGGGTGTGGAGACTGCACTGCCCTTTCACCACTTAGATCACTGCACTAGCAGTCTTTCCACCCATTAGTAGCAGGGAGTGCAGCTGCACTGGGGTTAGTACCAATAAATGCTAGTGTAGATGGTGGTAAAAACAATTGCTCTCTATTTACACTAGCACTTAGTACAGCTGGACAAGTTGCTAATAACAGGTTAAATAAAAATTGCTAGTATGGACACACTTGCAAAGGCAACCCCTTTTAGGGTAGGGGTCTGTCTGTACAGACAGAGCTCTAGTTTTTATGCCTGTCTGTTAAGCACCTTTCATGAGTGACATTTTAAAAAAAGGGGGGGGGGGAATTGTAAGATTGTATTGACTTCTATGGACTGGTCTCAACACAGTTTTTGTATCAATATAATTGTTGGTTAGGGGTGTCGTTTTTTAAAACACCGATATAGTTATCTTGATACAGCTCCTAATGTGGATGCAGTTTTGCCAGTACAAAGGTGCCTTAGAGCAGTATAGATAATTCCCCTTCTTCAGTAAATATTTTTTATGTATTTTGGGGGAAAAGCTTGATGCAGTCTCATTATATAGTGATGATAACACTCTTTCCATTCCACTAGTATCTCTGGAGGATGCTCATCAGAAGCTACTGAAGTTAGACATTTTTAAACCAGCAGGTCCAGAAAACTTGTATCCAAGAGTTTTAAAAGAATTGGCTGAGGAGCTCAATGGACCATTAATGTTAATTTTTCAATAAGTCAGAGCACTGGGGAATTAGAAAAATGATTGTTTTGCCAATTTTTAAAAAGGATAAAAACAGGGTAATTAGGCTTGTCACTCTGACATAGATGCCGGGCAAGATAATGGAACAGCTTGATATGGGACTCTATTAATAAAATAAAAAAAAATGGAGATATACCTATCTCATAGAACTGGAAGGGACCCTGAAAGGTCATTGAGTCCAGCCCCCTGCCTTCACTAGCAGGGCCAAGTACTGATTTTGCCCCAGATCCCTAAGTGGCCCCCTCAAGGATTGAACTCACAGCCCTGGGTTTAGCAGGCCAATGCTCAAACCACTGAGCTATCCCTCCCTCCTTCAAAAGGAATTGAAGGACAGTAATACAATTAATTCAAATCAATCTGGGTTTATGGACAATAGACCTAGTCAAACTAATTTTTATCTTATTTTGATGAGATTACAAGTTTGGTAAAGGTAACAGTGTTGATGTGATATACTTAAGAACTCTGTAAGGTATTTTTGACTTGGTACTATACGACATTTTGATTTAAAAAAAAAAAACAACAAAAACAACAAAACACTAAACATGATGCACATTAAACGGATTAAACCCTGGCCAACTGGTTGGTCTCAACATATAATTTTAAATGACTGGGGACTCATCCTCAAGCTGGTGTGTTTCCAGTGGGGTCCCGCAGGGATAGGTTCTTGGCCCTATGCTATTTAGCACTTTCATCAATGACCTGGAAGAAAACATAAAATCGTCACAGCTAAAGTTTGAACAGGACACAAGAATTGAGGGACGTGGTAAATAATGAAGAGGAAAGATCACTGATCAGAGCGATCTGGAGCTCTTGGAAAACTAGGTGCAAACAATATGCATTTTAATAGGGTCAAATGTAAACTTATACATCCAGGAACAAAGAATGCAGTTCATACTTCCAGGATTGGGGGACTCTATCCTGGGAAGTGGTGACTCTGAAAAAGGTTTGGGGGATTGTGGTGGATAATAAGCTGACCATGAGCGCTTTGGCCAAAAGAGCTAATGCAATGCTGGGGTGCATAAACTGGAGAATCGTGAGAAGGAGTAGAGAGGTTATTTTACTTCTGTATTTGGCATGGGTGCAACTGCTGCTGGAATATTGTCCAGTTCTGGTGCCCACAATTCAAGCAGGATGTTGGTAAATTGGAAAGGGTTCAGAGGAGAGCCATGAGAATGATCAGAGGATTAGAAAACATGCTTTATATTAATAGAATCAAGCAGCTCAGTCTATTTAGCTTAACAAAGAGAAGGTTAAGAGGTGACTTGATTACAGTCCATTAGCACCTACATGAGGAACAAATATTTAATAATTGGCTCTTTAATCTAGCAGAGAAAGATATAAAACAGTCCAGTGGCTGGAAGTTGAAGCTTAGACAAATTCAGACCAAATAAGCGGTACTTTTTTTCTTTTTTTTTAAACAGTGAGAGTAATAAACCATTGGAACACTGTACCTAGGGTCATGTATCAGAGGGGTAGCCGTGTTTGTTGCTTTTTACAGATCCAGACTGAGTCCTGTGGCACCTTATGGACTAACAGACATATTGGAGCATAAGCTTTCGTGGGTGAATACCCACTTCGTCAGACGCATGTATTCACCCACGAAAGCCTATGCTCCAACACATCTGTTAGTCTTAAAGGAGCCACAGGACTCTCTAGGGTCATGGTGGATTCTCCATCATTGACCATTTTTAAATGATGATTGGATGTTAGAAAAGTGGATGTTATATGTTAGATTGGATGTTTGTTGGTGCTAAACCATGTGACAGCTCCCAGCCAGCCAAGCAAACTCCTTAGGACTCTCCCTACCTTTATTTTGCCTAGCAGGGAGCACTTGGTGCTCCCAGTTCCCGAACCCCCTTTGCAGTATTCTGTCCCTGGACACTAACAGAAATTACCAAGTCTGCTGTCACAAAGAGATCGAATACACTGCAGCCTGTTGGCTCAGCTGATGTTGCACACCAGGTATGCAATTTACATTAGAGAAGGGAGACAGGAGGGAAAATAATTATCTGGAAGAAAACCTGTTTTTTTCCCCTTTGCTTTGTTACAGACTTTAAAATAAAATCAGTAAGTATCCATGATTTGCTATAGAGTGTTAACACATACATTGCACAATGATATTAATGACCAGTGTGTCACTGGCTTTCCTTTGATATCTTACACAACATTCTTTATAGATCAGTATCATGAGAGCAATGAGCTAAGTGTGGTGAGTTTGTCAGGCTTGATACAAGTCGCTGTTACATGAGCAGTGAACCCTTTGCCAGTGGGCATTGAGGGGGCTCTTATGGTCACCGGGCCCTTCTGGCTTTGGTATGTATGAATGGGAATAAGCTACACTGGTATAAGCACTTTTTTATCCTGGTATAATTGTGTCCACAGTAGGGAGTTTTATACTTATCCAGTGTGTGATATAAGAGGGTTGGGTAACTGAATTCTGATTCCTGAGATGGGCAATATCAGCCTGCTACAGAATAGATCAGACACTTCAGTGGGTTTTACTTTTTATTTTAAGGAGTGCTTTGATAAGTGATTGCTGGGTAGTACCACCCAGAAAACTGAAACTCCTCCCCTGGCTCTTTGAAAAGCTACTTACTGCTATTTAAATTTGCTGTTCAGTTTGGAAGCTAGGATTGATGCAATTGTTTGCTGAACACAGTTTTATAACTTTATTTCCTCCCCCCCCGCTCTAGAGTGAAGGAAGGAGATGGTGGACCATCTGGTTAACACTGAAATTAACAGCCAACGCATTGCTTCCGTGGAAAACTGCTTTGGGGCATCTGGACAACCCTTAGCTGTGCCAGGAAGAGTCCTTCTGGGTGAAGGCATTTTGACCAAAGAATGCCGCAAGAAGCCGAAGCCTCGGGTATTCTTTCTTTTCAATGACATCCTCGTGTATGGGAGCATAGTGATAAACAAAAGGAAGTACAACTCCCAGCACATCATACCTCTCGAAGACGTCACCTTAGAGACACTGCCGGATACCTTACAAATGAAGAACCGATGGATGATTAAAACTTCGAAAAAGTCCTTTGTTGTTTCTGCAGCCTCCCTCACAGAAAGGAAAGAATGGCTCAGTCACCTTGAAGAATGCATTAGGCATCTGCTGACAAAGACAGGCAGGCAGCCCTCCACGGAGCATGCTGCCCCCTGGATACCCGACAAGGCCACTGATATCTGCATGCGCTGCACACAGACCAAGTTCTCCACGCTTACTCGCAGGCATCACTGTCGGAAGTGTGGCTTCGTTGTGTGTGGGGACTGCTCCAGACAGAGGTTTCTGATGCCACGCCTGTCCCCCAAGCCGCTGAGGGTCTGTAGCCTATGCTACAGGCAGTTGATAGCAGAAAAGAAGAAGGAAGCAGAAGTTGACCTGAGACAGCCAGAGCAGATTGACTCTTCCATGACTGGTTATGAACCATCTAGTGGTGATGACAGTGATAAATCTGATGATGACAAAGTGGAACGGTGGCCGGGAGACGCAGAGTTTTATGCCTCAGAAGTACCTTGGTCATCTTTCCATAGTTGACCTTCTTACCCTTGGCTTAAAGCCTGAGGAGCCAAATTCTGACTTCTGATCCACGCATAGCCCTCAGTATTTTCAGTGGTGAGCGTACATTAGAGGGTGAAATTTAGCCCCTCTTTATCTCGTTTACTTTCATGTGTTTTCCTGATTAAGTCAGTCTCTAGTGATTTAAGAGAACTAGTATTGTGTCATATTACTCTCGCAGGGCATGGCCTACATCAAGACAGTGTGGTATAGTGGGCAGAGCACTGGACTGGGAACCAGTAAACCAAGGTTGTGTTCTCTGCCCTGCCATTGGCTTGTTGGCTGATCGTGGGCAAGTCACTTCCCCTCTGACTCAGTTTCCCATTTGTAAAATGGGGTAATAATGACATTTTTTGCTAAGAGCTTTGAGATCTACTGATCTCTATACAAGAACTAAGTATTATTGTTATTGTCTCAAATATACTACTCACCTGGGGGTGGACCCTTTCGTTGATATTAGAGGGCCATTGATGGGGTAGCTTGTGCTGCTATTGCCTGTGCTGTACCTCCTCTGTAGGGAAGAGAGGACTTCGCCTCCAAGGCTGGGATTTGTCATGAGCACTAAATACATATAAAACAATAGAACTAGAAATCTGAAGTACATGGAAACCTGGGCTGGTGCCCTTTGATCTCAGTACAGTAAGATACTGAAAAATAACCAGCAGAGACCTGGGTTAGACTTTTAGACTGCCTTTTGCTCCCCAAGCTACCTGAAACTGGGAGCCCTGGGGAAACGGTGATCTCAGGAACGGGAAGTCTTGTGTGGCTCTGAAGCGAAACCTGTTGACTTCTCATGAGCATCATTAGAACAGCACTGGAGAAGTCCTCCCTCCCAGCCAGAGAACAGCCATTGTGATGACAGAAGGTAATGGGAGAGTTAAGGTTTATATTAGGGGTGAGGTGAGAAAGAAGAGGCTGGCTCAACTCAGCAGAATCACCCCACCCCTGCCGCATACATATATATTTCCAGGTCTCAAAATCAGTAACCCAGCCAGATTCCACTGCCCCAGGGATGGAAGAACCCCAGCCTGGTGGGTGATGTAGCACAGGGTGGTAGAGCTAGTGCAAGAGGTGGTGAAGGGATGGGTGGGATGGTCAAAACTAAGGTCAGATTCTATGAGGTGCTGAAATTACTCAATGTCCAGTGACTCACTTGCTCATTAAGGCCCCAAGCCTTTGCTGCAAACGTATGTTGCATAACTTCAAGCATGAGCAGTCCTGCTGACTTCAGAGTTATGCACATGTGAGTGGCTTCAGGTTCAGGGCATAACATTATATGCTTAATTAGAATTGAACTTTGACATTAAAGTTAATCTCAAGTGAGACTGTGTCTATTCAAATAGCCTTTCGTCTCATGTGTAACTAAAATCATTTACTATCAGTGAAAATTAGACAACAGCAATTGTATTGCAGCAAATAACTGTACAACAAAAGCTCAGTTGCTACCTTTTCTGCATATTTTATATTGTGTATTTTATACTCTAGAGCAGGAATTTAGTTAAAAGTAATTTTCAACATATTTTTTCCTAACCATAGTCCAGTCTGTCTAAACACTGAATTGCATGCCAAATGACCAGGTTGGGTTGGTTTTTTTTAATTAGTTCAAAGCAATTATTCTCATGGGTTTTATTTTTCCTTTTTTATATACTGCCAATGTCCAGCCAGTTTGTATTATTCAACCAATTGTCAATAAAGCTATGGCCGAGGAGAGGGGGAAAAAGTGACAAAAAAGTAAATGTGCTGTTATTTAACAAAAAAACAAGCATTGGGTCATATGCTTTGATCTAAACACATCCAGTCTAGGGTGAACTCAGCAGCAACTCTTCAGTCATGTACTGAACATTGGGGTTTTCTATTTACTACTTGAAAGTGAATATTACTGAAAAATATCCAAGTCTGCGGCTTCCTTTCTGTTTATTCCATTCTTTCTCAGCAGACTAAGTTTTCCCAAGACTCTTGCTACCCCTGCAGTAATTGAAGTGGTATTTTCTGTGGGGGGGAGGGGGAGGAGATGGTGCAGAAATGGCCAACAAACCTCATGACCAAAACACATGTTTCTGGTTTTTAGAGTAATAAAGAACATTGAGTCCTATTTTTTTTCCATCCCGCTTCAAATTCTAGTTCATAATTATGAACAGTGGCAAGCGCATTTATAAAGCTTCCCTCCCACAAGTGAGTATAGGCTTCGCAAACAAAATAGGACCTTAACAAAAATAAGTAATTACAAATATCAAATACGAAAGCCCAGAACAGAAGCCCCAAACTTCCCTAATGTGAATCTAAACAAGATACTGGGGTTGAAATATACTTGGCATTTGAGAGCTCTACACGTGCTATGAGTGCTTATTTACATTAGGCCTTTTTAGGCTTTTTTCTACAAAATTTCTCACTGCTGCTAACACTGATTTACCACCACCAGTAGTAGGCACGTTAGTGTAGACAAGAGTTTCAGATACACAGTGCACAAAACACCAGGAGCCATGCTCACAATGGGTCTCCCATGATCACTGCCACCAGTGGATCCAAACTAGTGGCAGCAAGGAGGAGACTGTTCAGGCTGCGGAGCCCTGGCACCACACTTATTTGGTAAGTTTTACAACCATTGCTGGGCAGGAAATTTCATAAAACTTTTGTTTCTTTTAATTGCCCGACCAGCTAGCTGTGACTTGGGTGGGTGTTCAGAGCCTGGGGATTCCTGGCTCCCAGCCCTGTGAACACACAGGCTTTACAGCAGGGTTTGTACTAATACAATACCACCTGCATTTTTAACATGACTAGCTGTTTGTTCATTTTGTTTTTGTTTTGGCCTGATCCTATGACTGCTCCATTGTTTTGGAATTAAATAAATCCTTCTGCTGGCTTGATTATGGAATTTTAAACAGGGGAGAGTGGCAACGTGCAGGTTTTGTGTGTTAATTGCATGACAACTGAACATAACTTGGGCCTATGTTAATCACAAATACTGACCTTGAGGGAGAAAGTATCCAGGTTTGTTTTTTGGGGGAGATCTTCCTGCAGCACTCGCTGGTGGCTGCTATGCAGTGACACTACTCTTGCTGAGAGGGTTACCTGCCCCTCCAACTCCAGTGCAAATGCCCCATTTTGCAGCAGTTTTGGGGAAGTGTTGCCAGATGTTGAGTTCTGCAGCTAGGCAACTGACCCACTGCAGTGCTTTCGGAAGAGCACTGCACGGTGTACGTGGTGTTAGAATGGTGACAGCCAGCTCCACACACAAACTGTGAGCTAAAGCAGGGAGGACTAGAACCAGCTGACTACACCTGGACTAAAGTGGGTGCAAGAGCTGCAGGACCAGAAAGACAAGCTATAGGAGAGGTGCAGAGCTGCAGGTAGAAGGGTTGTCAGGCAAGGGAAGGTACCGGGGCAAGGAGGTAAACAGGGGAGTAAAGTCTGGGCACTCAGAGAAGTTCATGCCTGTTTCAATAGACACTGGAGCAAGGGGGGGGGGGGGTGACAAGCCAAGCGAAATGGAGACTGAGTGACTAATTGGCATCCAACCATTGAGAGAGTTGGGAGACATTTTTGGCATGAGAATGAGCTGCTTTTCTGGTGGATGTGGCGGGGGTAACCTTTCTTTTTTCTGCAGCAGTGTAAGGGGTGTCCCCGAAGCTTTTGAGAGCAAAGAGAAACATTCCATTTGTTGAGCAATGCAAAGAAATGTCAGCTCTGGGGCATGTGACCTACTGAATGTGTTGGAGGCTTTCCAAGCAAAATGACAGGAAAACAGAGCTAAAGTTCATGGAATGTTGAAAACCACAGCTTCAGCTCTCCAAAGTCAATAGCAATATAATGAAGTGAACAAAGGAACTAGCCTAGCAGCCTGCTACAAAGGCAGCAGAATGAAAGGTAAGAGTGACCCATCTGAGTTGTGAGTAAAGTGAAATGAAAGGCTCTAAAGAGCTGCAGTAAATTAAAGACATGTTCTAGGCTTCTAGATTCTAGAGGGTGCTGCCTGGACAACACACACTGTGTGCCACAGTGATCATACTGTGGACTGGGAGCAGCTTATAAGCGTGTGAGGGCACCCCAGTAAGATCAGCGCTGGAGAATGGGTATTTGAGTAGCCAAGTCGGAGATCTGGCCTGCCATTCACCATTGGCTCTGCAGCAGCAAAGAGCCGATCTTTCAGTCAATGTGGGATTTGTTTATTTATTTAAAGAAGGAACTGAGAAGGCAAATCTATACTGCGCCTTGAGGCTCATCCTAAAAATATTGGTTCTGCTTGTCTGACTCTTTGGTCTAAGTTTTGGTTCTTTAATATGTAAAGAAGAACAAAGTTGCTAAAGCCAAATTTGCTCTCATTCACCAGAAGCTCTTGTATATTTTGTACATGAACCCACAGCGAATTCCCCTGCAACTGGGACCTGAGTGCTGAATACGTATGATGGTTCCTCAATACCTGTTGCTGTAAAAATAATATTCTGCTTATAATCTAGAGTGGCTCTGTGCTAACTTTTCCCTCCTGCCTCTCAATTGTCCTGCACACCCCAGCTCTACCATGCCTGGGGCTTTCCTCAGCAAAGATACAGATGACTCGCTTGCACTACACTGAGTGGGGCTGTCTGATGTGGATGACTAGGGCAACATTTCCAAACTTTAACAGCCTGCTTGGAATACTATTTACGGGAACAGTGCAAATAATCATTTCACGTTATAGTCTGCACCAGCAACAACCAAAAAGCAGCCACCCTTAACAGTTTGGTTTCAGATGGAAGAAATGTCTCAGCCAAGTGAGGCAGATGCTCCACTGAATTAGAGCAGTTTTGCACCTCTCTTCAACAGAAAGCTGGCCTAAAGCCAGCTTAGCTACCTTGCAAGGACTTCCTAAGACTTCCTCAGGTGCCATATCCATGCTCTACCCTCCGGAACCCTCACAGCCACTGGACAACCCAGCAATCCCTGGCTCCCACTGGCAGCTGGTGCAAGCTAGAGCAGTCTTCAGAAGGGTTTATTAGCACTGGGGAATATTTTGTCCAAAAGCAAGAGACAATCCTTTAGCAGCTGATGGGCGGATCCTTACATACTATTAATTCTGCTGCACCTGGCCCAAGCCAACCACAGCCGGTTCAGCAGTGGCAAGAAGAGGTGTGCTCACTTAAGCCCAATCTCAGGCTGCAGTTTTCAGGTGTTAGGATGGGTGTGGAAGGAGTTAAGCAAGGCTGCATCAGGCCAGATTATACCAAACCCCTAGGAACTGAGTTACCTAGAGACCTCCCAAGAGCTCCTACCTTCACACTGTCACATGAACCACTTGGAGTACAAGCAGCATGGTCAAATATGCTCTTGCGTGCACAGCCTGGTGATATAGCTGAGATCACGCTGCAAGTAGAAGTGCATGAAAAGGCTCTGGTTTGTATGCTGGGTGCTTTTGCTCCCTCACCCCGAAGCTGCCACTTCTTTCACAGGGAATCCAGAGCATGCAACAGCTTAGGACAGGAAGTGAAGGGACATAAATAGTGCTGTGTTTTTTGCTAATGCAAAACAACAAAAAATGTATGCCACCGAGCCAGGTCCTGCTCCCAGCATGATGGAGGGGTGGCTGGGCCAAAGCTGAGCCAGCACTGCACCCCTATACACCAGGTCACAGTGCCCACAGCTGGCAGCAACCTCCACAGGACAAAAGCTGCAGCTGTGGGGTGAGAGCAGGACAGGCTTGTTCTGCAACCAGTGCTCAATTTGTGCCAGGACTGAGCCCTGGCACTTGGAGGCTTGGCCATTCATAGCCCCAGCACCTCTGGGCTTGGCCATTCATAGCCCCAGCACTACTCTCATTACAAATTAAGCACTGTCTGCAACCCCCACACCCAAGGGCTTCCACCCCGCAGGGGGCAGGACGAAACAAAACAACCTATTCCCATAAAGTAAAATGAAGAATTATAAAAAATAAAAAGGTCACAGGGCTCTGAAAAGGTCTCCAGTAGAAACTGCTGCAAGTCCCAGAGCTTGAATGACAGTGAGCAGCCGCAACTCCCATTAAACCCAGCAGGAATTGTGAGTGTTCAGCTGCTCTTGCGACGTGGAAATAGTTAACCCTCGTGAGCAGGTTGTCCCAGCGAGGCTGCCAAAGCCGCAGCTTGTGCACTACTGCCACAAGTTCAAGGAACTTGTCTTTACTTTGCAAATTCTAGTCAAAATGAATTATGTGCCTCTTTCTCAAGAGGACTAAGATTTTCCATCCAATACTAATTTCTAGGGGAGGGCAAAAACAGGACCAAACATCAGACTTTTGTTCTATCAAAAACTATTACAATTTGGTGCCTACTCTTGGACTCATGAATAAACTGCATACTCTGCAGTATAGTAATTATTCAACACTTGGCTTTCACCCCACTGCTAAAGATCACTTTGTAACTCACTGCGGGGAGGATCAAAAGCACACATCCTCCAAGGCAGCCAATCTTTTTTCTTCTCCTAACTAAATATATTTCAACTCCTGTTATTATAGTTATTTCATCACACCACATGTTTTGCTTTTATATTGTTACCCATAAAAACGATTTCAAAATGTTTTGGTGTGACCACTTACACAAACAGGCTTTGAAAAAGGAAAATGTTAGCTCGGGTGGGCAGGCCTCTCATCTTCCTGACAGTGTAACAAGAAAGAACTGCTCACATCCCTGTTATCAGAAGAGTTACATCCAAGGTAGAACAAATGCGCCTGTGTATTTTTCATATACGATGCATCTTCCATTAGCAGCTGAAGATTCTTTGGTCTTGTGGTTAAAGCATTAGATTGGGTGTTAGATCTGGGTTCTGTTCAAAGCTTGCCACATAAATAAATGGACGGAAGTAATGAAATCAAGCTTCTTAACTTCCTGAGCACCAACACACTAAGGTGGTGGGGCTCATGACAGCGCCTGTGTCCCCCCGGTGCCACATCAGTCTGGCAGCAGCTCAAGGAGCAGCTGGTAATTGGCCACTATAGTATTTTTAAGTGCAAAGCCCTTCATTGTGCAGTATTATGTGATGCATCCAGACAAACCAAAATACAAACGTGCAACATACACAATATACCACAGGCATTAAATACTGCCCCAGAGTGCTGTACCGGGGATTGGGGCAACCATCCACAAGCCTGGACACTTACGCAGGGAGTGCTGTGGGCAGAAGCAACATGTTGTTGTAGCTTGCGCTGACTCGGCTGCCGCAGTGCCAGTGGAAGTGACACAGTTTTCTGCTGTAGATGCAGGCTGGCAGGCCCAGGATCATACTGGAACAATAAATACTCCAGACACAACCATTCTGAATACTCAGTCATTCCGCAGCAAATTCCAGATAGCCCAAACAAACAGTCTCTAAGGCCACACTTCACTCCAATGGCAAGTCAGTTTATAGCCAGTTCTAAACAATGGACTTAAGTAGAACGTCTCCTGTGGCAGGTGGGCCGCAAAGGAAGCCTTTATCCTGTGTGGCCTTGTCTGCAGAAGGCCCTTTTCCGGAGTAAATTCCCACAGTGCTACTCTGCTGGCGGTTGTAAGGCTGGGAGCAATCGTGCAGCCACAACACTGGCTTTGCAATGGAGCTACAGAGATGCATCGTCACCAAGACTTCGCACAAGAGCAGGAGTCCACCGGCATAGGTCAGATTGCGGGATGCTGGCCCAGGGCCTATAGGAGGCATTACAATCTGGGTGCAAAAAGTGTAAGTATTTATCAAGGGTGGTGCCTGACTAAAGCCGCCCTGCCCATTCATCTACTATGTGAAGTGTAATCTGTGATGTCACCGATGTTCATATAAAACTGTAGTAACAGCCATTAAAAAAGCCGTTCCAGGTGGAGCGACATCATAGCTTTGGTTTACGTTGATTTTTATTCCATCGTGGCACAATGTGTCAATAAAGTGAAAAATCCAGCAGAAATGCTTAGTACTGCTGCTTGAGAGAGCAGGGGGCTTCGTTTTTTCTGTCATTAGGGTATTGCTAATGAGGAAATAGAAAATGGCCTATCCCTGCTTAAAATCTGTTACCTTCTATTGCATTGTCTTAGCACACGGGGTCTCATTGCTGTCGCAGCCTGGTCCTTACCTCTCTATAAAAGTGTAATGGTAAAACAGGCGTCGTCACACCAGTTATGTCTTCAGACAAAACAGCTATTCTTGTTTCAGGCCAAAGTCTTAAAGAAACATACCATGATGTCCCAGGAATTTTATAAAACTTTAGTGATACTCACACACTGAATATTAAACACAGAAGAGCTCCCTTCCCAGATCCATTGCTGAGTTCTATATTACATTCTAGGATTTAAACAGGAAGCCAAGATTTTCAAAGGTGATTCATAATTTTAGCAAAAAGAAGAACAGGAGTACTTGTGACACCTTAGAGACTAACAAATTTATTAGAGCATAAGCTTTCGTGGACTACAGCCCACTTCTTCGGATGCATATAGAATGGAACATATATTGAGGAGATATATATACACACATACAGAGAGCATGAACAGGTGGGAGTTGTTTTACCAACTCTGAGAGGCCAATTAATTAAGAGAGAGAAAAAAAAAAGAAAAAACTTTTGAAGTGATAATCAAGATAGCCCAGAGAAGTGGGCTGTAGTCCACGAAAGCTTATGCTCTAATAAATTTGTTAGTCTCTAAGGTGCCACAAGTACTCCTGTTCTTCTTTTTCCAGTACAGACAGTTTGATAAGAAGTGTGAGAATACTTACAAGGGGCGATAGATTCAATGTTTGTAATGGCTCAGCCATTCTCAGTCCTTATTCAAACCGGAGTTGATTGTGTCTAGTTTGCATATCAATTCCAGCTCAGGACTGGGAATGGCTGAGCCATTACAAACATTGAATCTATCTCCCCTTGTAAGTATTCTCACACTTCTTATCAAATTGTCTGTACTGGGCTATCTTGATTATCACTTCAAAAGTTTTTTTTCTCTTAATTAATTGGCCTCTCAGAGTTGGTAAAACAACTCCCACCTGTTCATGCTCTCTGTATGTGTGTATATATATCTCCTCAATATATGTTCCATTCTATATGCATCCGAAGAAGTGGGCTGTAGTCCACGAAAGCTTATGCTCTAATAAATTTGTTAGTCTCTAAGGTGCCACAAGTACTCCTGTTCTTCTTTTTCCAGTACAGACAGTTTGATAAGAAGTGTGAGAATACTTACAAGGGGAGATAGATTCAATGTTTGTAATGGCTCAGCCATTTCCAGTCCTTAGCTGGAATTGAAATACAAACTAGACACAATAAAAACCG